ATATATATATATATAAATAAATTAAATTTTTATTGACTGCCTGTTATATGTAGATACACCTATCTATTAATAATACTGGTACGATTTTTCCGATATACGAATCTGTGTAATAAGAAACATTTAAACAATTATATTGTCTGGAGAATTGTAAATGATGGATTTTATAGAATCATTTTTGAATGCGACGTGGTCATATTGATGCTAAAAACGCATATCAAATTATACACGCATGATCAAATTATACAACTATATTCTAAATTCATTAAAAATTTGTACTATATTCTAGTACGGTGTCACGCTTTTGGTCTGGCTGCGGTGGTTCTTGAACTATAACCAGAGGCAGTGAAAGTGGTAGGGAAGAGGGCTCACCTGAGAGTGAGTCTGATGGTACTACTGCAGAAGATGGTACATCTAATACATCTTCGCACGCTTCTTCATTTAAAGTTTGCAGAGCTCCACAAATCATCTGTTCCTCTAAAGTTACCTAAAAATAAATTATTTATTTATTTTCTGTTTTTAATAGTTTTATAAATTTTTAAATTATTTATTTTTTTATTATCAATTATTCATATTTTTTTCCAGAAAAAAGTAATACAAAATATTAAATTGCGCTTACCTGATACTAAAACCGAGCACGATTGTAATGAAAATTATACTTAATTAATTAATTAATTGTTAGAATATTTTTATTACATTTTTATTATTTTATTGTCACGTTTTAGGAAAGCTTACTTGTTTTTCCATAATTGATTGCTTAGTTTGATCTCGTCTAGGAGGACCATCGGTTCTTGAAGTTCCCTTATCTTTTTCAACATGAGTTGGCACGCGTATCGAAGTACTTTGCAAAGTATGATCTATATTTAAACAATAATGCGAAACAATGGTGTTTAAATATGTTTATATAATATAATATATTTAATTTTATAGTCTAACAATCTACTATAATTTGCTTAAATTATTTTTGTACCTTTTCGTGGAATTTGTTCTGTTCCTACAGTGAATCGAACACTTCGCGGACCTTCTTCATGTGTGCTAAATGATGAAATTTCTAATTCTCTAAGAGATACAATTACCATACGAAATAATTCCCAATCTCCGAAAGCCATTTTAAGAACCTGTAAATAAAAAATTATTATTAATTCTATCTATTACTTATATTTTTTATTTCACAAAAATAAAATTTACCTTTTTCAATTCTTGTAATTCACAATGTAATAAAACTCTACCATTAATGTTATTTTCTTTAATAACTTGTTTGTACTGCGGTGCTTGATTAGGATTTATATTCTCGATCCTATCAATAAGATCGCAAATTCCGTTTACTGTTAAAGAGGAAAGTCTTATCTCCAAAATCTCGGACTAAAAAATAAAAAAAGAAATTATGTAGCAATATTATTATATATTGTAATAATAATAATGTGAGCTAATAATCGCATTTTATACCGGTAAGCTTGAAGTTGCAGAAAGTGGTTTAATTACTGGTTCCATAGAAGATATTTGCACCCATGGTGATGTCTGCCAGTCGAATGATGGTTGCATACATGGTTGTATCCATGATGATGTTGATGGCACTGGTCCTATTTGTCCTTGTATACTTGGTGTTTTAATAGATTTCATTGTGCGACTTGCTAAACTATTTCTATTTGCATTCCACAGTTCATGACTATTACTATGTAAAGTCCAAGGACTATATTGTTTATATGGACCATGTCCTGTTTCTTCTTCCATACTTTGTTGTTCCTCTTTTATTTTTTTCTTAATATAAGGATCGAGATTTATTGTGAATGGTAAGAATATTTTCATATCACTAACAAGTAAACTGGAACGATGAAATGTCAAAAAAATGTCCAATTTACGTTCATCCCTATCCATTTCTAATAAAGGTTGAACTTCTTTAAGTACCGGAATTTGGGGTCGTATTCTAATAATTTAAATAGAAATGTTTTATATAAATCACTAGATAAAAATAATTATTTTGAAAAGAAAAAAAACATACTTATCATAAAGATTTTTTAACGACATGGAATCATCTAAACTATCTTCATACATATCATAATGAAGAATCAACCAAGACGTTCTAAATGGCCATTGTTCAGTAATATTGATCCAACTAGCTAAATGATACCAGTTGAAATCAATTTGGAATGCTTTTAATAATCTCCCTAAAAACAGACATAATATAGTAAAAACAAATAGAACATACAGGAATGAATATCTCTGATATTAATTATCTTCTTACCAGTGACATAAACAACGTTCATTAATCTTCTCATACTGCGAGGATTAACGTCGCTAAAATAATCATCAGTGAGAAGCATTTTATTAAGATCTTGAGCTCCGCCTAATCGATTTAAATTGCTACCAATACTACTAGCGACTGATTCGCTTAATCGCAATTTTCTACTTCCTTTTCTACTTTGTGGTTTCAATTTTTCATTGCTATTCATTATAGCAGACTCTGTACTAAGTCTTCTATTAGAAACAGAATGATGCATCGTACTAGTTGCAGTATAATTAACGCTTTCTTCGGCTTCGGTCCATGTAGTTTTTCTACTATGTTGGGCAGTTTGTTGAGCAACTTTTACTTTTCGCAAACCACTATTTTGCAAATAAAATGGAAGATGAACCATATTACGTAAATAATCATGCCCTCCAATATTAGATTCTGTGAATAATCTTCTACTATTGATTTCTACTGCCTGAATGAAAAAAATAAAAATTTTATTATTTAAAAATCTTTTATTATATATCACGTTTCATAAAAAAATGATATTACAATACCTTAGCAATAATATGTGGATCAATTGCTAATATAACAACAAATGGATAACCATTATCACTGAATAATGCTTGTATAGCATCTAAAACTAATAACACTTTATCTTGTTCACAACTATCCAAACCATCCACAATTATTACTAATCTGCTTTGTTGTGCCATAAAACTATCTAGACATTTAACCTGTTTTATTTTTTATAAAAATTTTATTAAGTATAAAAAATAATATGATAAAAAATATTACTCTATAATATGTTATACCATATCTGTCATTAAATTAACTTCGCTTCTTAGTGTTTGTATAAAACCTTCACTTTTTAAAGTCTCTAATTTAGAAATGCTGCGTTGTAGATGCCGTCTTTGAGAGAAAACTAATGCTTGTAATGTTCGACTCCATGTATATAAGTTTGCTATTATACTAATAGCTAATATTAAGGCAACAGTTATCATAATTATATGTGCCGTAACTCTTTCTATTGTTGGTCTATTGTATTAAAAATTAGAAAAAAATAAATAAATAATAATAATTTTAATTAATTTGCTTTTTTTAAAAAAATCATATTTTATTTTATACTCACTCACTGCTAGAAATATCGATGAGGTAGACCGTAAGTACAGAGATACCAACAAGTAAACTGCAAAAGCAGAATTCAAATATAACTATGTATGGCAAACAACAAAGATGTCTCCATTTCCACGTTGTTCTTGACTTATCTGGTTTTGGTCTGAATGCTCTATACAGTCGCGTAGATAAAGAACCAAAATCATTTTCGATGGAGTCATAAAGAGATCCTACCATTTGTACTACTGCATTCTCTCCGGCAGCAGTCGTACCGACTCGAGTCTGATCAGTGAAATAGAATTTTATTGGTTGAACAGTAACACCATCGTGAACTTGACCACCAGGAGGATGGCAAAAAATTACTTGTAACAGTAATTTCAATGAATTTAATTTTGTAGTTAGAGCTACTGTAAAACTATATGGCCAATACCAATCATATCTACGATTGAAATATTTAAAAATTAAACTTTGAAAAACTATATAAAATATAGGTTTTTAAATTTATAATCTTACCTTTTATTAGCATACCAAACAAGTATCAAAAAAATATATGTAATAAAAATAAGATTTATACCGCAGGCAAGACCAACAACCCATGATTGAAGAGCAAGACCTATAGTAATACCCACTAATAAAGATACGTGAGTTACTACAATGAAGAGTAAGAAAGAAAATTGAAATACAGGATCTATCCATTGACGCGCAAAATTTTTCATTTCCTCTGAAAAATTATTATCAATATATGAATTTTATAATTTTATAAAATGTAATTTTATATTTTAAAATGTAAAATAATCGCTCGTAATGTCTTATGAATCATGGCAAATTTACCTCTCAACTTGTTTAACAGAAATGATTTTCCCGAACCCCATTTTGCATAAAGACCAACTGTTATAGGCGTCGATAATGATGGTTCGCTAAGGATATCCGCTAATGCACTACTGTACAAATCGTAACCAAGCATATTTTCATTATCCTCATTAGTATTAAGACGTCCTAAAATAAACATATCGCTATTAATATTTTACTTTATAAAAAAAATAAATATTTCAACATTAATATACTTATTCTATTACATAATTTACTATATTTACACCACAATATAACTTAATAATTAATTAATTGCAACTTACGTGCACCAAATATTTGTCCAAGAATTGTCTTTGGATGATTAATGTCGATATTGTAAGGAGTCTCTCCTTGCCTATTTGGACGGTAAAGTAGTTGACTATTTTTCGGATTTCTCAATAATATTTCGACAATGGCTTTCGATCTTGCTCGCATAGCTATGTGTAATACTGTATCACCTTTTTTATCCGTGGCTGATACTTTAGCTTTTTTATCTAATAATAATTGTACAATCTCAGCATTTCGTGATCTAACTGCGCGTAATAACGGAGTATCACCGTCTTTTGTCGCAATTTCTAAATCTGGATTAGCATTTAGTAACAATTTCAATATTTGTATATTTCCTTTTTCTACTGCTATATAAGTTGCTGTTTTTTTATCCTAAAATATTTATGAAATTTAAATAGTTATTCTGATATATCGATAATCGGTTATTAAAAATAATTAAACATTTAAATAATTTCTATTCATATAAAAATTAGACGGATTAATTATTTTTAAATAAATATGTCTTTACCTTGCCGGCGATGTCAACATCAGCATATTTTTTTAAAAGAGATTCAACCACCCCTCTATGACCGCCTTTTACAGCATGAATTAAGTTTGTATCACCAGCCCTATCTTGAATATTTACATAAGCACCAGCATTTAAAAGCGCATTTGCTATTTCGTGATGCCCTTCTCGACATGCTATTGCCAAGGCCGTACAACCATCTTTATCTAGAGCATTCACATTTGGCTTATGTTCCAAGAGAAGTAATACTACATCCACATGATTTCCAAGAGTGGCCACAAGAAGAGCTGTCCACGAATACTGTGTACAAAATTTCATTAATTATCTAATTCAAACTAAATTTAAAATTCATTGTTCATGATTGTTTTATTAAAATTAAAACTTTACAACAATTAAAAATAATTGATCAATTTAATTTTTATTTATCACTTAATTCATACACGAATATTAAAATTGAAGACATACCATGCCAGCAGTATCTACATTAGCACCAGATTTTAAAAGTGTATCTACAATTTCTACGTGTCCTTTACGTGACGCCCATACCAACGCCGTAGTACCATACTAAAAATTGACAAGTAGCATTTATGTAAGTGTTATTTCGATAAGAAATACATAAATAAAATATTATAATCCATAAAATATCGATTTTCTTCTATTTTTAATTATTCATTTTTATAAAGTACATCGTATATGAATTTGAAAAAAAGTAAAAATAAATTACCTTGTCACCAACATTGACTTTAGCACCATGAGCAATGAGATCCTTAACAATATCAGGGTAACCCCTCCCTGCGGCCCATAACAACGAAGATATATGAAAATTTCCGTGTGCATTGACGTCAGCCCCTCGTGTTAGCAACATCGTCACC